AGAATTCTAAAATAATGAGCTGTAGACTAAAACATTATCCAGAAATAACAAATTTTCTTGATGTGAATTAAATAAAAAACTCAGGTCTAAAAAAACATTTTCAGACTAAAAAAGTTAGGGGGACTAAAAGAAGTATGTAGAAATACTAATTAAGAAATTTTTGTAGGCTTGAAATGAGATTCTAAATCGGAATTTTCGAATTTCTACAATGCTAGTAGAGAATTTTCAAAATATTCAGACGTAGACTAAAAACTATCCAGATATAGCAATTTAAAAAATTCTCTAAATTTACAAAACGAAACAATTTTAATAAAAAAATCAGATCAAAAAAATTTAAGTATAACATTTTCAAAATATAAAAAAAATGTAAAAAAAGTTGAGGAGACTAAAAAAACTACTTAGTTATTTGTATTTTAAATCTTTTTTTATTAGCGAAAATGCAACACGAACAATCTAGTTTGGTAGTTATTATTTATTATCTAATAAATCTTTTAGTGTTTATACATAATAATCATAATTTAATAATTTTTGTTTGTCTAAAAAGTTTAAGCACACGTTATTATGCCTTTCATTTTTTATATTTTTTTGACTAGTAATTTTTCTCTGATGAAAATTTCAATAATAATCACATTACACATTTGTTGGGAGACTAAATATGCCACTCATATGACTAACTTAGATATGATAGTACGTTCTGGCTTGAATTTCAAAAAAAAAACAAAACTGGCAGGTATTTGTTTACAGTATATAAAAGCACGTCAGACGTCAACAAAATAAAGAGAAACTTACCTAAAAAATATTGTTAAAAAAGTATGTATTACACTAAAGACATATAAAAATATTAAAGAATAATTTATTCATAAAAAAGTTAGGTACAATTTTGGGACTAGCATATTTATTTTAGTTTATTTGTTTTTTGATCTTTAGTAATACACAATATAGGTAGACAAAGTAGACATTTTAGAAAACAGTTAACAGTTTTATTTTTATATTTTTTTGAACGCGTCTTTATTCTGTAAGCATTACAAATATAAAAATACTATGCGAGTAGGCGACGATTAATATTCTACAGTTGGCAGCAATTTTTGCTGGAAATTTTTTACACACACACAAACTGGAAGTGAAATGACCATTCAACATTCTCGTCTTGTACAGCATTTTTGTAATAACTTGCAACATTATTTCACTCGAAATGAATAAAACGCAAACTTGTCAAAGTTTCCGCTGACATTTGAAGTCAAAAATCAGGATTGCCATCTGTAGAATTTTAATCACCGCCTACTCTAATTTATTATTTAGCATTTTATTCTTAACTTAGAAATTTAATACATTCTAAAACCAGTTTGGCACACATTTTGTGAGACTTTATGCAAAACCCTTTCGATTTTCATCATCCAGCCAAAATTCTGAAAATTTAATGATTTTAGGTACACTTCAGGTGCGCAGTCGCAAACGATGAAGCTGAAAGCTACGAATCCCCAGTGATGTTCTGAAAAAATCAGCTGTGTTTCAGACAAAACCCCAACTAGCAAATATGTTCCGGATGTGAATTAAACAGCCTAAGCAGGAAATAATGTAAGTGCCTTGTTGAAATATTCCGCTAATCTACCGGTGATAGAGTTCGTGCTGTTTTGTTTATGGTTATGTGCATGTTTCAGGCCGTTTTAATCCACCCATTTTCACCATTCTTGCACCATGGATCTAGCAGAGACCATGAAAAATGTCTTAGCCAAAGGAATTCAGCAAACGAACGTAAATGATTTGCCCACATCGACCAGTATGGGGTTCCCTGGTACAGGTTATGTTACTGAAAAACTCTACATGCTGCTACAGCTGTATCTGCAAAACAAGGGCTGGAATTCGTCAGTGGAGCTGTTGCAGTGCTTTTCAGAACTGAAAGAATCATCTATGTTGCCAAGTGCTGCCTATTTACAGTCAGTGTTTTTCGTTTTTTTGATATTATTTTTAATTATATTTTGTAGAATGATGGCTTCAAGGGTTACGCTAGATTCACAAGGTAGACTAATTTTGAGAGAAAATGGTAAAATTATTCTTCCCTTTGAACATTTTGCTAATGCTGTGATGCTGAAACATATGAATGGGCCTCATGGGTTGCATCTGGGGGTTGAAGCCACCGTCAGGGCTGTAAGTCGAGAGTTTCACTAATAATGGGGAAAAGGGGAAGAAATTCGGTGCTTTATTAAATAAAAAAAACAAATTTACGATTCTATAAACAAAAAAAAATGAAAAGATTGAAGAACATTGAGATTTTGAGCTGCAAAATACAGTTATGGAGACTATATTATAGAAATTCCAACTAAAAAAATTTCGAAAATGTTAATAGGGAATTTTTAAAATATTG